GTTTTTGCCGGCCCTTTTCGCAGTTGCGACAGCTGGCGACTCTGTTGGGGACCTGATTCCTTATGCGAGTCAATCCTAGCGCTTGTCTGTTTTATTTTTGGGTGTATATTTGTGTAGATGCATGTACTTTACTGTTGTATATTGTTGCAGTTATTTTCAACATTTTATGTTTTGTAATCATATTATACTGCTATTGTTGTGTTGTTGGGTGGGTTGTTCCACTAAGAGGTAAGCCAAATACCCAGGCTTGAGTATACACCTAGCATTAGTATGGAGAGTAGTGTGGGATTTAATGTTTGGCATGCACGAGTCCTCATGAAATTCGCGTTCAGATGAGATTTTCTTTGAAGACATCCTATCTTGTGCATCATGGATAGTTGAGGGGATGTTGGATCTGAAAACTAACGAATCTGGAGACCGTTCATTGGGAAGTCAGTTTAGACCTCCTTGATTGACCATGATGCTAAACCAGAAATGGTGAACGTATCATCGTTTCTCGACCTAAGAGTCTATGATACTGATGACCTGCATAAGATGTCGTACCTCTTCAGAGACTAAGTCCTACCTATGAGTGGGAAGGGTTTGTAGGAAACCTTGACTTTCAACCAACCCGACTTTCTGTCAAAGCAGACTTTTGATCTTGAGTGTTCTGGTATTCTGGATTTCTTATCTGAGCGAAGCTCTAGTTCAACTCAGTCAACATCACAACAATTTTTGATATCTTGATCCCCTGTTTGCAATTGCATAATCATTTTGCATTAGCATGTATGTGTTCTCAGGTTCTTATTTTCCTTTTGATTCTAGTGATTTGGTTGGTTGCTGAGATGGAGGTTGAATTGAAGAAGACTATCATCTACAAGTTTCTGCTACCAGAGTTAAGACCTTTATTTGGTCTTATTTCCATGGCTAGTGTTGGTGTCATGGAAGATTTCAAAAGAGATTATGGGAAGATTGTGAGTTTCGTTCTCAGAGTCACAAGTTATGAACAAGGAGCTATTCATACTTTGCTACAATTTTATGACCCTCAGTTGTGCTGTTTCACATTTCCTGATTATGTTCTAGTTCCTAGTTTGGAGGAATTTGTATTTCTAATGGGAGTTACAGTCTTAGAGGAGATGCCTTTCTTTCATTCTGAGAAAGAACCTGATCTGAAGAAGTTGGCCAGTGCTTTTTACTTGAGAAAGTCTGATCTGGTGGGTAATGTGGCTTGTAGAAGTGAAGCATATGGTTTTCCTTTGTCTTTCTTGGTGGGTAAGGCACATTATTTTGCTAAGGAAGGTTGTTGGGTAGTCTTCAATGCTATTCTGGCATTGTGCATATATGGTATTGTTTTATTTCCTAATATACCAGATTTTGTTGATATGGACGCTTTTCACATCTTTGCTTCCAAGAACCCTGTACCTACTCTCCTGGGAGATTTGTATCACTCAGTGCATTACAAAAATTAAAAGAGGAGAGGGGAAAATGTTTCTTGCTGTGCATCACTGCTCCACAAATGGTTCATGGATCATCTTCCTTATATTGGAGTGTTTGTTGATACAAAAGATACATCTGAGTGGTCAGAGAGACTTGTGGGCCTAGAATCTAAGGATATTATCCGGTTTAATCGAGATCTACTTGGTATGGAGATTATCTTTAGCTGTAGGAGTTTTCCTAATGTGCCTCTGATAGGAAGGAAAAGGGGGATCAATTACAACCCTTCTCTTGCTGTCAGACAGTTTGGTTATGCCTTGAGGGGAACTGCGAAGGAAGAAGAAGTGCAGGAATCTCTGTAATTCACAGGTGTAGATGATTTTGATACTCTGGCTAGGATAAAGGAAGCTTGCGGAAAGGTTCATAAAAGAGGAAAGTTTTCTTTGGGTAAAAGTGATTGTAGAGCTTTTGACCCTTACTTGGATTGGATCCAGAAGAGAGTAGAGAAAGTGTTGTTGCATTTTCCTGTTAGGGATCCTTTATATCCTTTAGTCATTGAAGAGCCTACGAAAATTGACATCCTAAGATATGACAAGCTTTAGGCAGAAAAGGAGGAATTGCGCAAAGAGAACGAAGAGTTGAAACAGGAGATCATCCAGTTGAAACGTGACAAAGGGAAGCTATTTATTTGGCTAAGAAGAAATCAAAATCTTTAGCCAATATGGAGAAAGAGTTATTTGAGCACCTCAGAATGCAAGAGCGGATTGGTCATGACCTAAAAATTACTTGCAGTATCTTGAAGCATAAGAAGGAAGACTTAGACAGAGCTTATCTGGAGATATCCAAATTCACATTCTAACTAGTGATGCATTCATATCACAACATCATCTCGATAATGATTTTGATTTCAAAATCTGCATGAGTATTGCATCAGAATTACCATTTGGAAGGAAAAAGTTTATCTACAAGTCAGTACTTAGCATCAAGGAAGTTCCAACTATGTGCAATCAATCGAGGAATTCAATCTTTCATAAAGGATCCAATCTTGGAAAAACCACCTAAGGATTCTATTGACTAATGGTAAATCACCTAAAGACATTGTTGGTCAGAGGTAAATCCCTCCAAATAATGGTCAATCTAGGGCAAATAGTTTCTAGACTTGGTTAATCTAGGGAAAAACACTTCAAGGCTCAGTAATATTGTGATGAATTAGACCATACAACCAATGTCAATAAAATGACATATAAAGTAATAAATCCAGAGAATAATCAAGTCCAAATAAATCAAAATAACATATAACCAAAAATAAATCAATAATACAAATGCTATATATTATTGTGTATGATGGACTCGGACTCGGGACACCTTGTTCATATGTTCCCTCTTGTACTGCAGTGCCTCCCATGCCTCTGTTATCATGGCATCTACAACATCCTTGGCCTCAGATCCATTTGGAAATAGTCCCATATCAATACACACCTACCCAATTCAATGATACAGCGACATCTAGGAAACACATCAACAACATGGTATGCCCTAACCCGCTCCTCCTCTAGTATCTCCTGGTGAGATGGCCTCATTGGATGTCCTAGAGCATCATGTATCATATAAGAATGTGACATCTTGAAGAACCACCTGATATAACCATCCGCGTAGCTCCAATCGCTGGGAGGTATGCGACTCTGTGCCTCCTCCGATACTAGATGATTAAGATAATCATCAAACATAGCATTCATATCTCTACGTGTCATTGTGAGAGGAGCAGACACATAAGGGTCTTTAGGAATATGCTGCGCTGAACTACCGCATGTAGCTTTGGCAATTTTTGGTTGACTCTTTTTCCTTCAAATTGATGCATGTTGTGCAATCTTGTCGTGTCTCAATCGATTTTGCCTATGAGCCATAATTCTTGTAAGTAAACCACATAAGCGTTACACTTATACATATGAAACACGATGAGTTCAAGAAAAAATTATTTAAAAAATGCACTGAAAAACTCTAGAGATGCATCTCTGGTTTCTAGGAATCAAATTGCTCAAAAATTTCAAAGATACATCTCTGAATTTTCTACAACTCATATCAGTGTCAATAGCGGAAATACAGTCACCCAAAATAGTAAAAATAGTGCATTGATCAATAAGACTACTTATTAAACACGTTTCTCATTGAGCATCCACATTGGATCAAGAGCATCCACATTGGATCAAGAGCAACACATGTATGAGTGAGATATCGCATATTCACCTAAAATCTTAAGGGGATAGATGTATGGGTCTTCTCACTTATAAAGTGCACAACCTCTACTTTTTTAACCAATGTGAGACTTCCAACTCACATTTGTATACAACATGATGAGTTCAAGCAAAAATGATCAAAAATATGCACTAAAAAACTCTGGAGATGCATATCTGGATTCTAGGAATCAAAACTTTCGAAAATTCTAAAGATGCATCTCCGAAATTTTCTGCAACTCACATCAACGTCAATGACAGAAATACGCTCACCCAAAACAACAAACATAGTGCATTGATAAATAAAACTACCTATCAAACACGTTTCTCATTCACGTAACATGTATAAAATACCTATTTCATTACCTAATCATCAATTTATATATATTTATACAGAAACTCAAAAACTTTAGAAAAAAGAAAAAAAAAAAAAAAAAACTTACATGCTTTAAAGTTTGTTGAATGATTTTGAGAGAATGTGAACTCTTTGATGAACTTGATGTTGATGGAAGATGCTTTGAAGTTGGTTGAATAATTTTAAGAGAATGTGAGTTGAAAGAGTTTGAGAACGTTGAGTGTTTTTTAGAAATGAAAAAAGAGAACAGATTTTAAAACGTTTTTGAATAAAAGGCGTTCGGAGATGCATCCCCGCAAATTACACGGAGATGCATTTGTATAATTTTTTTAATAGCTTTAGAGTTTTATTCATGAATATATTGAATTGAATTGGGATACGTTCAGAAATCCAGCTTCAAAATCTGTAAATATTATAATATTTTCACAAGTAAGTAGTAGCAATCCAAAGAGTATATTTATTTCTCTTTTCATATCTATACTTCAAAGCCCACCTCTCTCTAAGGTTTTTTTAAGCAATTAATTTCTTCCAACCAGACATGTTCCAAGTACAGCCAGCTAAGTCAAATTTGTAACAATCTACTTAAGAAATTTGTTATCTGCCAACAACCTCACCATATTAGCTAGTTTGGAACTATAAACTAAATTCTTTTGCACGTCGTTTTACATTGAAATTTGACCGGACTTGGAGGACAGAAATTTTCTTTCAAATAAAATTCATTTCAAAACTAAATAAATAAAGTCCAAATAAAATTTTCTTTCAAAACTAAATAAATAAAATAGTATTATCCAAATTCATTTCGCAATTAATGTGAATAGAAAAAATTCCCAACGACCTGATACTAGTCATCATCATGAATATCTAAATTCTAAAAAATACAACTCGAGTTCCTATAAATACTAGACTCAACTTCACTCATAAATCACACAACTAGGCAAGCAATTTCTTAGTTATTAATTTGTTCTTTCTCACACTTTAGCTATTACTAAATCATTATCATCATGGGTGTTTTTAATTTTGAGGATGAAGCCACTTCTGTTGTAGCACCTGCTATACTCTACAAAGCACTAGTTACAGATGCTGATAACCTTACTCCAAAGGTTATTGATGCCATCAAAAGTATTGAAATTGTTGAAGGAAACGGTGGTGCCGGAACCATCAAGAAACTCACTTTCGTTGAAGGTCAGTACAAATTTATACATGTGTTACGTCAATATGCTCTCAATATATAAAATTTTAATTGCAATTTTATGTGCAGATGGTGAAACCAAGCATGTGTTGCACAAAGTGGAGTTAGTAGATGCTGCTAACTTGGCTTACAACTATAGCATAGTTGGTGGTGTTGGATTTCCAGACACAGTTGAGAAGATCTCTTTTGAGGCTAAATTGACTGCTGGACCAAATGGAGGATCCATTGCAAAGCTGGGTGTGAAATATTACACCAAAGGAGATGCTGCTCCTAGCGAAGAGCAACTCAACAAGGACAAAGCTAAGGGTGATGGTCTTTTCAAGGCCCTTGAGGGTTACTGTTTGGCTCATCCTGATTACAACTAAACTATACAATCATCAAGTTCTTGCTTTATACATTGTGTGTTGTTAAACTATATTTTCTGTGTGCTTAATTTGCCTGCCAATGTAATTCTCTGTTTTATTTTTTTCCCTTTTCTTTTGTTGTGGCATTAAAAGTGTGAGATTGTAAGTCATGTATACCTTTCTTTCAATAAACTACAATAATAATTTATATACATCAGTTTAATTGTTTGTTTTTAAAATTATTACAATAAATACTACTTAGTTTTAAAAAATTTCCGAAGAATTTAGTTAAAATAACTATTGTTATTATTATAAATCGATGTCGTCAAGAACAAATTAGAGTATAAAAAAGATTGAGTTTTATGAATAAACACAAAAAATTTCATTAGGTTTTACAAAAGAGAGAGAAGAAGGAAGAAGAAAAAACCAGGATTGGTTATAACTGTTTTACTATTCACTTTCTCTATTAGGATTCAAAGATTACAAATATCAACAACCAAAGTCTCTCTCTCAACAAACTGCGAGAATTAGTCTATTTACTGACTACTAAGCTAACTTAATCTACAAGGTAACTTAAACAATTGGGCTAAACAAACAGGCCCAATTCAAAGACTACCACATGTTTGAGCATACTTCAACTACAACATGCAAGATCAACATGTGAACAAACTTCGACTACATGCTAAACCTTTGTCAAACGATAAAGCTATCCCTGTCGAGACTAGAGTTCGATGCACATACCACAAACTCCACCTTGTAATAAACTCTACAATAACAAGGGAACAAACTAGCTTCCATCCTGCAACTTTATTAACTGCATACAGTGGAAAAACTTGCTACTTGGTAATGTCTTGGTGATCATATCAGCAACATTGTCATCAGTCGAAACCTTTAACACTTGGACTTCTCCATGCCCGATTATCTCTCTAACGAAGTGCAACCTCATACCGATGTGCTTGGTTCGCCCATGATAGGTTGAATTCTTCGACGGGTGTATTGCAGATTGAATATTACATTACCTTGAAGTTTCAGCTCCTTAGCAAAACCTTGAAGCCATAATGCTTCTTTCACAGCTTTAGCAAGGGAAATATACTCTGCTTCAGTGGTTGATAAGGCAACAACCTTCTAAAGTGTTGCTTTTCAACTGGTTGTTGTACCAAACATAGTGAACACATATCCAGAAATAGATTTTCTTGAATCCATACAACCTGCATAATCAGAGTCGATAAATCCTTCGATTTCGACTTTACCATTATCTCCACATGCTCCACCATAAATTAGGATTCTACTTAGAGATCCATTGATGTACATTAGAATCCACTTTAATTCTTGCCAATGCACCTTCCCAAGATTGGTCATATACCTGCTTACAAGGCTCACTCTGTACGCTATGTCTGACCTCGTACAGTCCAAAACATACATCAAAGAACCTACTATACTAACATATGGAATGATATTCATATAGGTTATTTCGGCTTTAGTACTAAGAATTTGAGTCATACTCAACTTAAACTAAAGAAAAAAAATTTAATTCGATATACCAAACTTGTCGTGAATCTTCTTCAGGTATGTCTTTTGAGATAAGCATAATATCGACTGTTTTCTGTCTCTCTAAGTGTCAATCCTAATTATCCTGGAGGTAGTTCCCAGATCCTTCATGTCGATCTCCTTATCGAGTTCAGTATTCACCTTCATAATATCTTCGACATTGTTGCTTGCTTTGAGGATGTTATTCACATAAAGCAACAAAATAACAAGTGAATTTCCAGGTCAAAATCTGAAGTAAACACAGTAGTCGAACTGGCTCCTAGTCAAACCTATGTGTGCCATGAACTTGTAGAATCTCATATTCCATTGTCAAGAAGATGGTTTCAGGCCATACAAAGACCTATTGAGCTTGCACACATAATCTTCCATTCCCTTTTCTGCATAGCCTTCAGGTTTCCTCATCAGGATTGTTTTATCTGGATCACCATACATGAAGGTTGTCTTTATATCCATCTGTTCAAGCTCTGGGTCGAACTTCGCCACTATGGCTAACAAAATTCTAGTGGACTTGTGCTCTACAACAGGTAAGAGCACATAATTGAAGTCGAAACCTTCTTTTTTTAGTGAATCTCTTAGCAACCAACCTTGCCTTAAATCTCTTCGACACCACTCCTTTGATTCCCTCCTTAACCTTGAAATCCATTTACAGCTGACTAACATGGCTCCAACAGGTTTCTCGATCTGGTCCCAAGTGTTATTATCACGAAGAGATTTTATTTCATCATCCATGGCTTTCAGCCATTCGGTATTGTCTCAAATTCTCATAACTTCCTTATAGTCTCTAGGTTCTTCATCCAGAACCTCACTTGCAGAGATTAAGGCATAAGTTATGAGATATGCATAACCATGTCTCTAAGGTGGCTTAATGACTCTTCTTGACCCGTCTCTTGCTAGTAGGAAAAGAAGAGAAATTGTGGGAGAAAGACGGAAAAGAGGAAGCATGAAGTAGAAGACGAAACAGAGGAATATTGAAAGGTCGCAAGAGATATCCATGAGAGAATGAAGGAGAAGAACGAAAGAAAGAGAATGGTGATCGGGATCGTGAAGGGCGAGAGAAGAAAGCGGAGAGGGAAGGAAACGAGGATCACGTTGAGGGGGGGGGGAGGGGATTAGGGTTTTTTTTTTTGTTTTATTTGTTATAATCTGATAATGTGCACACACAGTTTATATCGTGAACCCTCGCACTCACCGCCACTCATCACACATCACGCGACCCACGACGCTTGCCCACCGTAGACCTTTCTCCAGCGTACCTCACATAATCTCGCGACCCACTTAATTAACCCCCTAATCAACCTCCCTTAACCTTAACCTACTGGTTTAATTATTTTATCACTCATTAACCATTAATCTGGCATATAATCCCCATGTTTTTTAATTAATTAACTTATATTAATTAATCATTAATCAGCCAACTTTTTTTCTCATTAAAACAAATTATTTTTTTTTATATAATTAACCTTTTACCCATTTTACTAATCAATTTAATATCTCTTATTTAATTATCTTTTTATTTATTAAATAAATAAAACAACTTTTTACGATAAAAAATACATTTTCTCATGAGTTAAATAACTTTTATAATCCCCAAACTTTTATTTAATAAAAATGTATTAATAACACTAAACCAAATAATTTTCATATTTATAATAAAATCTTTTTTTTTAATAAACATATCTAATGAGAAAACTTCTCCATTTAAATTTATTTCTAGCAACCTTGATCTACTTTTTCGCTAAATAAAATCAATTCAACTTCTATTAAACTTTAATTTAATCTAATAACCCCACTCACTTTTCTTAAAATTCAACCTCACCATAACATAATCTAATCGAACACGCTTACACCTCACATTCACATTCACATCACTCTCACTTACACTTAGCGCTTTCATGCATGTATATGTTTTATTTATTTGCTCTTTATCATCTCCGCAATTTACTTTTATCAGCAATTTACATTATCAATTTACTTTCCTCGCATCGCATTCCATCCAAAGGAAAAACCTACACATGATTCAACAATTGTGTGTAGTGCACATCATTTGCATCATTCTCCCCTTGATCCCTGATCCCATTCAAGTTGATCTTTATAAGTTAGACCCTACCCCATAGGAAGAACCGTTATCTCTTTACAACTTAGATACAAACAAATACAACTCAATTCAAACATTCAAACAATAGAGAAATAGATGTTAATCATCTTAAGCGAGATAGAATCTCCGCTCCACAATAATACAATCAATACCGTAGGAACTTTTCCTTAAGAGGATAGAAGCGTGCATCGTCGATCAATAATATCCGAGTACTTGAACCCTTCTCTTAAGACGATGCAAAGACTATTTTCCTACAATTTGTGGCGGTTAAATCTCTCTTAAAATGACAACTCACCTTTTCTCCTAAACTCAAGCAATCAACTTCCCTAAACCCGTAGGAACTTTGACCACAGTCAAAGAACTCCTCAAACCCTTTAGGAGAACTACAAATACTCTAATTCCACTCCCGTAAGGATATGTAGGCATAAGATGCAACATCTTATCGAGTATACTTAGAAATAAACCCCTAGGTCTTTCAACCATTAAGCAGATAAACATTTAGCAATAAACAATATAAAATAAGAGGTTCCTGTAGAGTACTACAGAAACTTAGGATGCTAGCACCTTCCCTAAGTTTAACCAACCCCCGAACCTATAACTCTCTAAACCTTGCATTTGCATTGCATTGTGGAAATTTCGATCTTTATCCCTTTGGACAAATCAAAGTTCGGTTGCAAAAATGAATTAAAGATTCAAACTAATCAATAGTTTGGTATCCAAATTTCACCGCGATAGAAGCTAAGGAGACTGATAATAACTATCTAGCGGCAAGAGATATGTCGAGAAGAATCATCAAGCCACCTCAGATACTTGGTTATACAGATCTCATAACTTATGCCTTAATCTCAGCAAGTCGGGTTCTTGACAAAGAACCTAGAGACTATAAGAAAATTATGAAAATTAAGAGTAAGACTGAATGGCTAAAAGCCATGGATGATGAGATGAAATCTTTCTATGATGATAACATATGGTAGCTGATCGAGAAACATGTTAGGGTCAAGTTAGTCAACTGTAAGTGGATCTTCAAGGTTAAGGAAGGAATCAAAGGAATGATGTCAAACTGTTTTAAGGAACGGTTGGTTGATAGGGCATTCACTCAAAAAGAAGGTGTCGACTTCAATGATGTGTTCGCACCTATTGTAAAATATATGTCCATTAGAATGTTGTTAAGCATGGTGACAAAGTTCTACGTAGAACTTAAATAAATAGATGTGAAGACAACCTTCCTATATGGTGATCTAGATGAAATAATGCAGGTGAGGCAACCTATAGGATATGCAGAAAATGGAAAGGAAGATTATGTGTGTAAGCTAAAAAAGTACTTGTATGGCCTGAAACAATCTCCTCCACAAAGGAATAGAAGGTTCGACAAGTTCAT